CTGCACCGGATACCGGCACTCGTGTCTCTCCATGGGTGTGCAAGGCGTCGCGCGTGAGAATGTGAACATGGAAGAAGCAAAGGTGATGACAAGCAACAGGTTAGATGCATCACATACAGTATCTCACTCTCAAACTCGTTCACTAATGTGGTATCTAGGCAGCTATTCATAGTCGGTGCCAATATTGAGTCGTCGAAAGTATCAACGACTTCATCATAGCGAACATCATGGATGTCCATTTGTTGCAGGAGCGAGGCAATGTCATCGGTTGCTTGGCGGTTTTCGTTGGCACTTTGAACTGCCTCGCTGGGTACGTTCTTCTCAACATCGATCAAGTTGCATTTGACAAACCCACGGACGATTGTAGCCTTCGGAAGGGCCTCCCATGCTTCGTTTACCCACTCAACCAAGTCAAATCGTGACGGCGGGCGCAGTTGAAAGGTGCCTTCGTCATTTTTGTAGTTTTCGATTTCATACCGCAAATAGGTCACCCAGCGCTCGCGCATTGCAGTCTTCATTGGTTTCATCCACGCAAATTCCGCTGGTTGGCACATCCAGGCAAATGTTGGCGGAATCTTTTCCAGGATGACATTCATTGTTGCTGCACAGGCAACCACATCGTCACAAAAAAGAGCACAAAAATTGTCCCATAGAAGCAAGATTTTCTTGAGGTCATGCATGGCCTTTGCGATGGCCAAAATGGTAAGTCAGGAAATCTTTGGAAATTTTACAGTTTCACCATGCCGTAGGGTTGCCGTACAAGCGTGAGGGATACCGTTCGTGGAGCTCTTGGAATTCGGGCCACACGACAGGCCCAAAGCCGTTTCGTTGTGTCAGGTTCTCAACCACTTTCTCTTTGATCTTTGACGCTTTTGACTTTAGGACCAAAAACATGGGTTATTTTGTGCCCTTGGTGTCGGCCAGCAGCATCGCCGTGATACGGTCCTTCTCGAGCCCCGAACAACGAATCCACACGGTCTTTGACCCCGCACCATCAGTTGTTGTTTTTGGAATGTACTCGTAGTGTGATTCCTGTCTGATCCGCATTGTAGATTACTTCAATGTCTTCGGTTGCGATCAAGTTACGTATGCGGTTGCTGAACTCTGTCAACGCTGCTTGACCGCGTTCTAGGTTGGACTGCCCAGATCTTGTCTTCGCTCGCATAGTTAGCTTCCAGCGCTTCATAAAACTCGTAATCCATGGTTGGCTAGCTTTGAACTCGTGTTCCTTGAGCCCAACGTCTTTTGCTACTTCTAGCGCTTTACATTGCAGTAGGAAACGACTCACAGGAATTCCATCTGAACGAAGATCGTTTATCCACTTGACAATTTGTTCTTCGTGCTCTTTAGCCAGCGTAGTTGCAGTGCCGATGAGGCGTGAGTTCTTTTGCGATGCGGTAGCAGGATTACTAGCTTTCTTCGTTATATGAGCGCGGTTGCTTTCCCACCGGAGCACTCTTTTT